TTCAACATTTTCGCGGCGAATTTTTTCGCGAACATATTCGGATAGTGGAAAACGGACTTAATAATAAATCGATACCTTTTCTTGTTTCGTGATGTAAATCACGTTCACCAAGCACACGAAATCACTTGAGCTCTTAAATCTTAATTACAACGTTACAACTTACAAATAACATTCCTACTAGAAAATACATGCATGCAGAAACCCTCGCCTTGTTGACAAAACCATTGTATTTTCCGAACATGAAGTATCTAAAGCAGTTGTCATGGTAACACGATAAATTTTTAAGAATTTCTCACAAACGAAAAATCGCCTAAAAATATCACGTTTAATTACAAAATTATTAATTTCCCAACATATATATGTTAGGTATGTTATTATACGTAATATAAGCCTCAATTTAAGGTAAAATTCAACCACAAACGCTTCGCAAAACGTTTTAAAGTCACTAGTGAGTAGTGTTCTTTATAAAACTAAACGGCCTTTTAAAATGGCTTTATCGATAAACTTTGAGTTTGCAATAAAATGATTTCAAATTCTCGCTTGCAAATAACTTTGCTTTCTTTTTTATTTAAAAAATTCAATATCATAAAAAAGGGAATCAATATTAAAGATACACTGAGTATATGCTGTTTTGTTTTAATACTTGTTTCATATACGCAAAGGCGGTCGGGTTTTAAAGCCATTATAAAATCAATATTTAAAACAAAGGCTTACCTTCGTTAACGTCGGCTCCCTTTTTTTAGCCGATTCTTTCACAGTTTCTTTCTGAGAGAGCTTTTGAAATTTACAACTGAAATCTTGCAAAAATGCGAGCAAAAATGAAATATATTTGCAGGAAATTTATCAATCATCAAATCAAGAAATGTTTGCTATTTCGCTGTCGTCATCATGCAGTCGTTATAATGCAAACTTTAAATTGGACCAATCAGTGTCCGCTATTCATGACAGTCCGCCATATTTTTGAGATCACCCACCCCAACATCGTTGGTCACCCACGCCCGCGATAATTGATGAACTTTAGACTTCGCTAATGCTTTCGTTTCCCCGGGTGTAAATAGCCGGGGGGAATTAGTACCCTCGCACGGCGCTTCGCGCCGTCGGCTCGGGGATAAAATTCTATCAGTGAAATTCATGACTCATATAGCTTGCCGGTTACGTCTCTGGGTTACGTATGACGTCATCGTCGACTATTCGCGGATTATTCGCGGACTATTAATTTGTACTATTTGTCGACTATTCGCACTATTCGCTTTTCTAGTTTTATCAATTACCAGCAGTTTGATAAATTTACGAAAATTACTGAAAAATTTAAGAAATTACAGTACATTAATGCGAAAAAATGAAAAATTGGTATGTCGGAAAAAAATTTGTTTCTAAATTTTCCGATTGCCTTGTCTTAGCATGCACTATTAAGGCCCATTTACACGGTACGATTAGTTGTATGCGATTCTTACTCTGGTGTATGTGATCGAATAAACACGCGTACAAACGTCACATTTCAAATTTGGCCATTAGCAAATGAGCAATAACGTCGCATTAGCACTCGTTTTCACTCGTCAGAATGACAATCGTATACAACTAATCGTATCGTGTAAATGGGCCTTTAGTAAATCCTCTGCAAAGTGCTTGTGATAATTCAATGATTTTCGGAAGGCAAAGGCTTACGGCTGGATTCGTTTGATCGTGCCGGGGAATGATACCCCACGCCCGGATGTTATAAAATATCTGCAACTGATTAGTAATTAATTATCTGTTATAAGTATCCACAGCGGTGCCGGCTGAACAATTTGAGATCAGTGACCTTGATTTAGTCGCGAGAGCCGGGGAAGAATTACGTAGGTGGGTGAATAGGGGTATACAAATCCGCCGATCCGCCCAAATTTGAAGCAAAATCCGCCGATCCGACAATGGTCTTGTCTAAATTTGGATCCCGGCTAAAAGCTCTGCTATGAAGTCACAATCCGGGATCCGAACTAAATTGCAAGCAAAATCCGCAATATTAGATAAATCCGCAATCCGCTGTATTAATAAGATCCGCAAATCCGTGTAAAATATTCGCAGGCCAGATCCAAAATCTGGCTAACAATTTTTTCGCCGGAATCTGACGATCCGAAAACCTATTCATCCCAACCCAACCCCCACCCATTCACCCCCCACCTACCCCCATTACGTATTATTTTATACGACTAACTTCCTCATAAAAACACATCTCGATAAGGGGCTTTCAGTAAAATACGACTCAAGACATCTTGTGACCGGTTTTAGTTTGCAAGCTAGAGCTTATTGCGCGCTTAAAGCGCGGCAAGAACTACAAGGAAATATAAAACATGCACCTAAAGTACTATTTAAAGTACGCGTGGGGGGTGCTTAAAGCACGACTACGTACATTACTACAAGTGCTTTATCTACCTATCATATCTTTTGAGTTCATTGCATGGCGAAGTCATTTTAAAAATAAACGTTGTCTGTAAGCCGAGAAAATCGAAGCCAAAGTTTATGTAAACAAGTGTAGAGCGGTTTATAACTCGTTGGGCTATACAAATATGCATATTACTGTATATGGTCCAACAATCAAATAAATAGCCAATTGATCGAAGAGTTGTCACCTGACTCTTGTTGACTCCAACATTATGGGATAGAATAATGCACACTTTTAAAACTTGTGTAAGACGAGTTGTGGGTCAGGGTTCTTTGCCGTGCTTTGAGGTTTTTCTCCAGGTTATATTACATTGATACTCTATTCAAGGCATCTGCCTCCTGCTATTTATTTCTTGAAATTCAGCATTAGACTAACAGTCTAATTTTTTTTTAAACAATAAATGCTATTATTTTTTTTAATTGTATTTTTGAATAATAAAGCAGGACTGTTAGGGATGTAAGGGGGCAGACGTTTTGCAAAGGCATGTCCTCAAAATTTTCCAAAATCTGAATTAGCGCAGTCATTAACCTTTTCATGTTTACTTCAGTCTCACTTAAAGGTGATGTAAAGTCCGTAATGTAAACAAACGCTTTGTTTACATTTTGAACTCAGTGCTACAGTTGTAAAATATGATTAGATATATATTATACTGAAGTTTTAACACTTTTCTGGTTCGCTATGCTTGTAAATGAATGCAGACTAGATATTCAATTCAAGAAAGTTCGGAAAGTGCGAAATATTAACAACATTGCTCCCCCACTGATGGAATGTTTTGATGCGCAGAATATATGCGCAGAACGGACTTTACAGCATCTTTAAAGGACAATGGCAACAAAAAATTTTATTGTCTCATTTAAAAAAACGTTTAAAATGATCTGCATCTTGTTACAGATTTTTCATATCCGGTTTAACTCTTAACTAACTTAACTAACTTAATTTTGACTGAGAGCAATGAGCTGCCCGCCATCTTGGATTATGGAGGTATTTACTTACGTCACAAGTTGGGTCACGCAAGTTTTTTATCTTGACAGCTATGCAGTGATCAATATTAATCCGAAACTCGTTTTTGGTTACTTTCTCAAATTTTGAATTGAATAAAAACAGTTTAAACAACTTTTTATTGTTACTCTGTAACTTAGAAGTAATTTTATAAGGTTAGCCCCACTCCTGACGTCATAGTTAATGAGGTTAAGAATTATTCCAAAACGGGCGGACAGCTCATTGCTTTCAGTCAAAATATTCAATAAAGACGGCTAAAGAGTCAATTAAGCTTGCATGATATTATATAGATGATATTAAACTGTCTTTCAAATGAGAAATAAAAAAATTTGTTGCCATTGTCCTTTAACAAGTAAGATCTTCCAGCAACGGTAGTGTGGTTCGCAATCTTGAGTCATAATTAAGGAGCAGTTGCAAACTGATGATTAAGTAGCGTAAATGTCCAAATGTAAGCCGAGTATAAGTCCCCTACGTGTATAAGCCCACCATATTGGCCGTTTTTATACTAGAGACGCATTATGCGCCTGGACGAACTTGGGCAAGCATTTGTTGTTCGTCCGGTTATGCGTCCTTAGTATAAAGACGGGCACAAGACGCATATGCGCCTAGACGAACTATGTTCGATTCTTCGTCTTAAGAGACGCACAACCGATGATAATTCGTCTAGACGCATAATGCGTCTTGTGCCCGTCTTTATACTGAGGACGCATAACCAGACGAACAATAAATGTTGATAGTTCGTCGCATTGGCCGTTTTTATACTAGAGACGCATTATACGTCTGGACGCATAATCCGTCTTCCACATTATTCGTCTAGTATTATTCGTCCCGTCTTTATACTAGACGAATAATGTAGAAGACGGATTATGCGTCCAGACGCATAATCCGTCTCGAGTATAAAAACGGCCATTCACTAACATTCAGGCCATTCCAAATAATATTATCAGCACCTAAAATTCAAATTGTCCAATGAAAAAACAGCACTTGTACCACGCGATAATGTGATTTTTTACGGTATTTCACTCAAATTCATTATTTCGCAATACAGCGTGAGATACTATAATACCCCACGACAGATCCACCGTGGGATATTATAGTATCCCACGCTCACGCGTGACGCGTGGACACCACGCTCTGAAACAATAAGGCGTTCGCGAGCTGTTGTTTGTAATTTCGTACAGAAGATTTGATTTAACCAAAGAGTTTCAAGACGTATGTCACCTTTAATGATCCAAAGGATACATGCTCAAATATTTTAAAGAGGAAACGTCAAAAACTCAGGTATACATAAGAAATTAAAAATTGTATTCGCGTAGTTAATATTCAGCAAGTTTTAAAGTTTATTCACTGAACTTTAATGAGTTCTTTAACTTTCGGTATAATATATCATTTATAGACCCGGAGCGAGGGGGATTCGGCGTAATTTCCCGGCGAACTGATGATATTTTCCGAGGGGCAAAGCCCCAAGCCCCTCGGAAAATATCATCAGTTCGCCGGGAAATATTACGCCGAATCCCCTTCGCTCCGGGTCTATAAATGATAATAAGTCTCTGCATGCATATATAAGCCCCCCCCCCCGTTTACAGCCCACAAGCTTATTATTGAACAGGTATATTATTAACGGAATGACGGGGATTCCAACTTACAGCTCAGATACGAGTGACAATAATTACTTTACAGTATTATAATATGTTAACCGACTTTTTTATGTTTAGTACTAGTTAAAACATGAGCAGCCGATCTTTATCTAATATACAAACTCGAGATCAGATTTAGATCGGATGCGAATAACGCGCTTAAAATCCGACCCATCTTATGAGTTCATTGGCGAAGTAATTTTAAAAATAAACATTGTCTAAGCCGATAAAAACAAAGCTGAAGTTTATGTAAATCCGGACAAATCTTTATCCGATTTACAAACATTGATTAAACATTAATTTCTTTTTGTATTTTCCTCTAAAATTCTGAACATTTTTTGGATTTTCTAAAATTTTTGTAAGTAATATAAGATTTCGTTTAATATTTAAATAATTCCATTGACCAACTTTTCAAAAATTTTGACCAACTTTTCAAAAATTTTGACCAACTTTTCAAAGTTCAGAATTATTGGGGGCGTCGCACCCCCCCCCCCCCCCCCCCCAAGACCCCCCAGTCGCCACGCCCCTGGTTGCAACCAGGAAAGCTTTACTTAAACTCATTGATGTTATAAAACATTTAACAATTATTCGCCGAAGGCGAGGTGATTATCGGGGAATATTCGCCGAGACGAAGTCGAGGTCGTTATATTTCCGTGTTGATATACAGTTGATATACAGTTATACTCCTGAAAACATTTCGACATCAGGTGTCTTACACATTGGCATCTCCGATCATAGCTTGGTGTACACTGTACGCAAATTCAAATTATCTAAATTTAGACCTAATGTGAAAGAAGTCCGGGACTTTAAACATTTTTCAGATTCTCAATTTCGTTCAGATCTATCCCAAGTACATTGGGATACGATTCTGAGATATGATGATCCTAATACATGTTGGATTGTTTGGAAATCTATTTTTCACGAAATCCTAAACAAGCATGCACCCCTTCGACATAGAAGAACTAAAGCTAACCCAGTTCCTTGGATTACGCCTACTATCAAGCAATTAATGAGGGAAAGAGATTATCATAAAAAAAGGCTATAAAATTTAACTCTACAATACACTGGGAAAAGTATCAGTTTATGCGGAATAAAATAAATATACGAATGCGTAAAACAAAAGCCGATTTCTATCATAGAGAGATTGGAGAGTGTGCTAAATTAAATGATTTGAAAAAAACCTGGTCGCTAATAAACTCTCTTACTGGAAAGAATAATAAAGCCAACAATATTACAGAAATATCTGTTAATAATTGTAACACCTCCAATTCGAAACTTATTGCCGAAGCCTTTAATGAATATTTCGTTAACATAGGCCCAAATTTGGCATCTGAAGTAAATCATGAACTTTCTGAAGAGGAAATGAATAACGGTTACATTCCTAACACTCAAATAAACACAGAATTTCAGTTCCATCAAATTAATGTGGAAAATGTGCGTTGGCTTTAATGAATTTAAAGACTAACAAATCTACTGGTTTGGATAAAATTCCAGCCAAAGTCCTTAAACTAACTGCAGATATCATAGCTCCGTCACTGTCCTATATATTTAATTTATCACTCGAAACAGGGATTTATGTTGACGACTGGAAACGGGCTCGAGTGAATCCAATTCATAAATCAGACGACAGACTAAAATGTGAAAATTATAGGCCGATTTCTATACTGCCAATCGTAAGTAAGGTTTTTGAAAGAGAGGTTTTTAGACAAATTTATAGCTTTGTTTCTGATAATTTCTTACTCTCCAAGTTTCAATCGGGATTTCGACCTAAACACTCCACACTGTCCTCTTTGATACAAATGTGTGACGATCCATGGATAATGGCAAAATAAATTGTGTCGTGTTCCTTGATGTACGTAAGGCCTTTGATTGTATAAACCATGAAATACTATTAAAAAAGATGCTTAAC